ATTGCATGAGCCTCATTTTTTTGCCTTTTAAGCAATCATCTCAGTCAATTTTGGCTACTATGTTGGCCTGCATAAGGTCTGTTTGGGGTTGGTTTAGCTATTTGAGTATTGTCTTACATGCCTCTAGTGTAATACACTTCACTAGCTTCAATGCTTGAGCCTTTCAACATACATTACATGGGTTGTTTGCATGATTCTAAGTCATTTTGCATGCTATTTCAGTGCTGGAACATATGTCATTGTACTCCATGTTTCATCCTTTCAATGCCTTTGGAGAGTTGTATTTTGTGCCTTGAACTTGGGCCAATATGCATGCATGTTTGTATATCATTTTGAGTTTCTATCTTAGCATATATGGCCACTGATTTGGGCATGACTGAGGTCAGTCCATTTTGGTTTAAGTCCATCGAGCATTGTGTATGCCATATGGCTCATTGCGTTGTGTATGCCATGTCCATTCGCATTGTGTATGCTAGTTGTTGTTCATATTGTTGCATGCTTATGTTGTTTTGCATTGAGTATGCATGCATTAGCATAATGTGCATATCATTAATTTTGTTAAGTTAATCATGTCACATTGCATTGAGTGGGCCATGTGGTTCTTAGCATTGTGCACTGTGAATTGTGTATGCCATTAGCATTGAGTATGCTAAGTTACATTGCATTGAATGTTTGCATGCTTGTCCCTTGCATGTTGTTTGCATGCTTGTTTAGTTGTATTACATCGAGTTGCATGCTTGAGTCGCATTGGGTATGCCATGCTTGCTTTGCATTTGTGTTTGAAATAGGTGTTAGTCCAAACACGAGAAACGAGGGACGTTTCATACTTGAAGTGATGAAATGTGCCTCAATTGTGGTTCTTAGCATTGTGCACTGTGAATTGTGCATGCCATTAGCATTGAGTATGCTAAGTTACATTACATTGAATGTTTGCATGCTTGTCCCTTGCATGTTGTTTGCATGCTTGTTTAGTTGTATTGCATCGAGTTGCATGCTTGAGTCGCATTGGGTATGCCATGCTTGCTTTGCATTTGTGTTTGGAATAGGTGTTAGTCCAAACACGGGAAACGAGGGACGTTTCATACTTGAAGTGATGAAACGTACCTCGATTTTCCCGGTCACCGACGTTTTTTATCATTCTTGATAGAGTTTTAGGCTTTATGTGTTTACTTGTGCATTCATTTCCATATTGAATTGTGCAACTTCGCTTCTCGGCCATCATGCATTGAAATGCATGATTGATGGCCCGAGGGTCGAGAACCATGCTCCCTTGAGCTTATGAAATGATAGGGAGGGTGGTTGTGCACACATATCTTGCAAATACATTGCCATGCCCTTTCTTGCTCTCTGTTGCAGCAAATTGAAGTCTGGTAGCAGAAACTGGTCGGCCGACCAGGTAAAATGGCTGACCGACCACTTTTTCTGGTTTCAGCACAAAAAGTGGTCGGCAGGTGGCCTCCAATGCCAACAACTGGTCGGCAGCATCCCTATAGGTTCCCATGGTGGAGTTTCAGTCTTCTGGAGCCTTGTGTAGTGTTCTGGGACCAGTTGCAAACAGAGGCAAATCGGGGCATCGCGATGGATTTTCGAGCGAGGCGATTTGAGCATGCATACATCCCTCGTCATGAGGCCATTTCAGTGTTTTGTTAGCTTAGAATGTATATTTGTTTCAATTTTGGTTGTGCAATAATTAATTAGCTAGAATAGTTAGTTAATTAGTCAGTTCTGTATTATTTATTCGGACCCTCCGTCAAGAGGGCACAACTGTTGTAATAAGTGTGCGTGTGTGTGGTTAGTTTTAGGGCATGTTTCAATTAGCATCCTTATGCTTGCATGTTTGCATCCATTCATTTGTCTTGCATGCACCGGGCTCAGCGTATCATACTAACTTCATTGTATTTCAATTCATGTTTGAATACATGTATCAAATTACATTTCACATGACATTTTAGAATAGCTGAGCCTATCTTAGTTGCATTTTGTATGTGTTGCATTAGGCATTCTTGACATAGCTAGGATCATGCATTGATTTCTAACATAGCTTTTGTTTTGACTCGGAGTACTCGGTAAGTGTTTATGCTTTAGCATCCTTGCATATGTGTGAGTGACTGCCATGATAGCATGCTTTCCATAAGGCTAACTGCTTATGTGATATAACTGCCTGAATGCCTGTAGGTGAAGGCTGGATTACTTGAATTGGAACAATTCATTGATCGCGAGTTTTAAGCCCACTTGAGAGTGACAAATCACCATGTTTTCTAAAGCCCACTTGAGGGTGGCAAAATCTGCATTTTAGCCTACTTGCGAGTAGTAAACCGCTTTAAAAAACAAACATGAAATGTTTTGTTCCAATTTAGGCGATCCAGTCTATACTTGTATGTTGTGCGTGTCACATAGTAATTCTAGGTTAATAACTGGAATAAGAGCACATGTGTTTTCAAAAACAAGATATCATTCTTTGATCGGGTGAACGGGGGTGCTCATTGCGTGACCTTCCCCTCTCGTACCTAAGTTCCCGAGCCGAGGCAACTTTAGTGATGACGGACACGTGGCCTTAGGCACGAGTCAGGGTTTCTTAAATTCCCCAAAATAATATTTAGGTGGCGACTCTATATCTGGCAAAGCAGTCCATGTTTGGCACTTCTTTCTAAAAATCAATTTTTCAAAATGATTTGCCAGATTTGGACTCTTTGGTGATTTATCAATCTCGCATTGCACTTTGCGAGATTAGATTCAGAACCGTGACATTTGAGTCCGAACTGTAGTGAGCCCAATGAACAAAACGAGATTTTCCCGGGACGTTCGGGCGCGTCTACAATATCCTCACTTCTATAAAGATGAAATCAAAAAAGTTGTTCAGGAGTTACGAGAGGCTGGCCTTATTCGTTATAGCTCAAGTCCATATTCGTCTCCAGTTTTCTTAGTTCGCAAAAAAAATAATTCCCTGGTGTATGTGTCTTTACCCTTAATACTAGCATGCATTGAATCATCAGAGTAGCACTCACAAATATCATCATCAATACTAGAAAAAATAGGGAAGATAAGGCAAGAATACGTAATGGCTCATGGACATGAGATAAGGCATCGACAACCTTTTTGTCAAGTCTTAGGCAATAGATAATCTCATAATTATAGCCCAATAATTTAGATAGCCACTTTTGTTGTTCAAGGGAAGAAATTCGCTGTTCCAAAAAATATTTTATACTTTGATGATCCATATAAATTTTAAAGTGACGGCTTAATAAATAAGGACACCATTTTTGGACCGCACAAACAATAGCAAGCATCTCTTTATCATAAATTGATAGATTCAAATTTTTACCAGAAAAGCCTTGCTAAAATATGCAATAGGATGACCTCCTTGCATGAGAACATCGCATAAACCATTGCCTAAAGCATCACACTCAATAGAAAATTCTTTAGAGAAATCAGGCAATGTTAACACTAGAGTTGTTGTTAAGGCCAACTTCAAATTAGAAAAACAGCAGCAGTAGCACCGTCATTCCAAACAAAAGAATTTGTCTTTAGTAGTTGGGTCAAAGGTGCACTGATTTTGCCATAGTTTTTAACAAATTTGCAGTAACAACCGGTTAAGCCAAGAAACCCACGAAGACCTTTAATGGAGGATGGAACAGGTCCCTCGGAAACACTAGCAATTTTGTCACTGTCAACTGACATACCCTGAGCTAAAATAATATGGCCAAGATACCCAATTGAGCTTTGTGCAAAAGAGCATTTTGATTTCACAAATAGGTTATTAGTATACAAAACACCAAAAACGATAGATAAATGGTGAATATGATCTGAGAGGGAAGCATTGTACACCAAAATATCATCGAAGAAAACAAGCACAAACTTTTGTAAGTAAGAACGAAAGAGATTGTTCATTAAACTCTGGAACGTAGCAGGAGCATTAGAAGTGCTAAATGGCATGACCAAAAATTCATAATGGCCATCATGTGTGCGAAACGTTGTCTTAGGAATATCTGGTTCTTGCACTCGAATTTGATGATATCCAGAACGAAGATCTAACTTAGAAAATATAGTTACACCATGTAACTCATCAAGTAGTGCTCTTTGACCACTGGAATAGGGAAGCGATCTTTGATTGTAATTTTATTAAGTGCATAAATTGGCCTAGTATGAAAGGAGCAACAAAAAAAATTTATTGCTCAATGTGATGTCTGTCAACGCAACAAGACATAAGCTATTTTGCCCCTAGACTTTTTAGCCCCTTGCCAATCCCTGATGATGTGTGGCTTGATTTATCAATGGGCTTTATTGAGGGATTGTCATCTTCGTATCAAAAAACTACAATTTTAGTGGTTATGGATCGCCTCTCCAAATATGCTCACTTTAGTGCTCTTTCTCATCTTTATTCCGCCATTACTATTGTTGATGTTTTTATAAGAGATATTGTTCTCTTGCATGGCATGCCTGGTACAATTGTCAGTGATAGAGACCCCATCTTTCTTAATAATTTTTTGGAAGCCTTTTTTACTATGTAGGGTACGCAATTATGTCGGAGTTCAGCTTGTCACCCTCAATCTGATGGTCAGACCGAGGTTACTAACTGCACTTTAGAGTGTTATCTTTGATGTTTTGCGGATCAGAAACCTCACGATTGGTCTCGTTGGTTGCCTTGGGCTAATTGGTGGTACAATACCACTTATCATTCTGTTATTCAAATGACTCTGTTTGAGGTTGTCTACAGCTTCTCTCCACCTTCAGTTTCAGCTTATCTTCCTAGTGCAACTGATGTTCATACAGTGACCTTGCTTTATGGGATCGCAATCGTACTTTGTAACTTTCAAAGGATCATCTGCAATCTGTTCAAGCTCGCATGAAATTTTATGCTGAAGCCAATCGAATTGAACGCCGTTTTGCTGTGAATGATTAGGTTTTTTTGCGACTGCAACCTTATCGCTAGTCTACAGTTGCTTCGCAACATTATTCCAAGCTTTCTCCCTGTTTTTATGGACCTTTTCGTATTATTGTGCAGGTTGGTTCTGTTGCTTACAAGTTGGACCTTCCCAAAGGGTGTCGCATACATTCCGTTTTTTATGTCTTTGCCTTAAAGTTAAAGTTGGGAGCAAATGTTACTTCCAACCCCTACTTACCTTCTCTTACTGATGTTTCTGAATTGGTGCATAAGAAAATTTTAGATCGCAGCATGTTCAAGCAGAACAATCAAACTGTCACACGTTGGCTCATTCAGTGGAAGGGTTATTCTGTTAATGAAGCTAATTGGGAAGACCATGCTGCTTTTTGTGCTCATTATCCTAATTTTCCAGCTTGAAGACTAGCTGTGATTCTAGGGCGGTTGAATGTTAGGAAACCAATTATATTAGCAAGTCTACTTCTTTTCAATTACTATCTAATCAATTTAGGAAGTCTATGTTATTTTTCTTTTATAAGGATGCTTATTGTAATTTTGATAAGGAGATTTAATAATATTAAGAGTTTCAGTGACTAATCGTCAATTCAAAGGATTGTTGGTGGCTGATCCCCAATCAAATGATCAAATTCAAGGTCTAGGGCCCTATCACATTGAACCAGAGCTCCGTAGCTCCGCAGCTCCACCGTTGTTGAACCAAATCGTGAGATCCGTAGCTCTGCCATCGTTGAACCAAAGCTTCACCACCTTGTGCCACTAGTTCTGGGGGTTTCTCCACGTCATTGTCATCGACAAACTCCAGCAACGATGATGCAGAGAAGCCCACACTCAAATCTATGCAAGAAGATGGAGATGTACTCAAATCTGTCCACCTCACCCGCGTCTGGCGTGCAGACCTGGTTGAGCGCGGCAAACATCTGGTCAGAAAGACCAGATCTGGTAGCACCAAGTGTTGCCATCAATTCTTCAATGATGTCAAACCCTAACAAGTAAGTTCTCTCTCAAAAAATTTCTCAAAAGAGAGTTTCCTCTCTCTCTCTTCCCTAAATTTATATATATATAGTATAATATAAATTCATACAACAAATCAATCAATCGATTCAGATAGTACCTTTATGATAACAATATAGGGAAGATTAGAGGCATTCATCACACTCAGCAAAACAAAGAAATTGAGCCTTATAAATGCATACATATGTACGCCATATACATATACATATATATATATGTATGTATGTGTGAATTAGAATATATGTGAAATTTTTAATGACTGAATGAATGAAATAGAAATGAGAGTGAGCATTACCAGTGTATTGACACTACATGAAGCCTTTCTTGCATATGCTTTGAAGTTTTGCACAGGCAAAGCATAGGACCTAGAGATGGAAAAACACCAAGAGATTTACAGAGATTGAAGAGTTATGGTCAGAGTTGTTCAAGAGGATTTCGAGGAGGATGGAGACAAAGATTGCTCAAAAATTTTGTGATAATCCTGGTAAATTGCTCAATGTTACTTGTATCCTTTTTTTTGGCATAACCAGAAAAATCAACGTTATTATTGGATTAGATTAATTTGTTATTTTATTTTAATTTAATTTTTTTGGATCTGATAACTGTTCTCCGTATGATTGATGGTTTTATTGTGTGAATCGATGTTGAAGATCATTTTTGTTCTTTGGTTTTTGTTAGGATCCGTCAAGAAAGGTGCTCCGAGCGAGAAGGCTACCAAGAAGATGAAGAAAGAGAAGATGAGCACACAGAGAGAGAGAAATTTGTAGATGAAAGATTGCAATAGATATCAGTGTATGTACTGGATTAATTTCAACAAATAAGGATAAAGAACAAGAAAGAGGAAGAGTGAAAGATTGCAACTTATAGTGGTTTGGTGTATTTTAACAAATAATTCTCTTCTCCCGCTCTCTCCACCCATTTCAATAGATCATCACCACTTGTCTCAATAAATTGAAAAAAAAAGAAAAAAAGAAATTGAACATATAAAAAAAAATTGAATAGGTAATTTCAACAAATAGAAAAATAAAAAAAATTAAATAGATAAGAACAAACATATTCACTTTTTGACAAATAGAGAGAGAATGTGTAGGTTTAACAAATAGATACAAAATTTCAAGAGATAAAAAATATTTTGACAACCGATAAGGTTGGTTTGAATGATAGGAATAAAATTTGAACCGAAAAGATTAAAAAATTAAACAAATAGGGTAAAAAAATTAAGCATATAAGGAAAAAAAATTAAAAAGATAGATATAAATTTGAATGGATAGGAAAAAAATTTGAACAGATAATCAATAAAAAGTCCACAGATAAATTAAGGGGTAAAATTAGAAACAAAATGTCTTGCAAAACCAACAAAATGACTTCTCACTAAACTATTTCACAAATGGTAGATCTCTCACCAATAAAAAATATTCACTAGATGTAATGTCTTGTACCCTTCTTCGCTTGGATTTTTCAACAAGTATCTCAATAATTTATTAAAAAATATGGTTACATAATTGTGAGTAAGGTTATGTAAATATCATTTCAAACCGAGTTGCTACATGGCAAATTATGATGATTGAGTTGATAGTTGGAACCATACTTAGGCCGAGATATTCGACGAGGAATACAAGTCATTATGGATGAATAATTTCTAAGCTGAGTGAGTTATGACTCTTTTAAGAGGTTTATCATAAAATAACCCAATTAGGTGTGAACTACAACGTGATTCATAGGGAAGGGACTACTAGGAGGGGGCAACAGGATATTCTACATAAAGGTAATAACCCTCGAAGGTTAAAGGTACTTGTGAAGTATTTGTGAGATTGTCACTTATTTTATTATTGGAGTGTCCCACAAATTTTGTTCTCATATTTTGAAGAAGATTTTTGTTAATTGTGTGATTAGATTTTGACGCACACACAAAATTTATTTATAATTGGACATAATGGTAACGGATTTTATGAGTTCTACCATCTTTGTGCATTGTTAAAAAATTTTGATAAAAAAATTATTTATATGTAGTATTTTATTTTTAATAATGTTAAAATAATTACATTTTACTTAATATTGAATGTGACAAATTTAATTTACTCGAATTTCATAATTGTTCAATTAATGTGAGTGTCTCACATCAAGTTGTCTACATAAAATATAATTTAGAAATAGTAATTGTACCATTCAAAACTGTCGAATGAATAGAGCAATAATGTGCAATAATGGTATTAGAAGGTTTTACCTAGTTTGTCGTTGTCTGGATGGCCGACATTATTAAACTTATATTAAACTAAGATTGGTTCTGAAGTTTTAGGCACATGGAAACTTCATAAAAACTATTTTGACAATTTTTGTAAGGGAGATTTTCTGGGGGTGTATCGTATGGATATTTGGTTATGATTTTTGTATTTTTTAGTTATAATTTATTATATTATTAGTTATGATAAATTGTGATGTTAATTATGATATTATTTTGATTATGATCTAAGAATTGTTTGGTATTTCATGTGATGTTTAATTATAACTCAATTTTTTTTTAGTTTTGACTTTCATAGTATTGAGTTATGCATTTGTGATAATCAAATTCACAAATGGCATAACTTGCATATGATAGACACGCTTTTGACAGTGTGTATCATAACATTACCCTTTTTGAAAATTATTCTTGAAATATATATTAGGCAAAAAAGATTTAAAAATTTTAAGATAAATTATAAATATATGCCTTGCGATTTGACAAAAATACAAATTCTCTCTTCACGTTTTGAAAATTACAAATACTTTTCTGTCAAATTTTTTTTTTGATAACTGACCTAACAAAAAATATAAATTAACCAAATATCCTTTAATATCAAAATAAAATTATCATACTACCCTCATTTTTATCCATCCACCACCAACTCCCTAACCCTACACTATTACAATTTTCTCCATTCCTTCTCCGCAACGCACCAAATGCTTATAGATAACAATAATAATGGTGGTACTGATTGAAAGTGGGAGTGAGTGGCACGATGGTTAAGAAAAAAATAATAAAATTATTAACTTCATAAAGGTTAATATAGATATTTTTATAATAAAAAAAATTGTTACTTACGTCATATATTCTGTTTGTTTGACTTAATGATTGATTAACAAAGGAAACTATTTGTTATGTAATTGAAAACATCAATTGATAGGATGTAATTTCTTAAATATAAAGGGAGAGTTTGTATTTTTAATGAATTACAAGTGCTATATTTATAATTTATCCAAAATTTTAATAGCTACGTTCCACCGTACACTCTATTTTTATCATATGCAAGTTATTACTATTTGGGGTGTTGATATGACAATATCATCACTAAATTATTTTTAGTAATAATTAAAATAACAACAATGATTCATCCCCCTTTGACCCACTCTCTCTCATTGGTTACATTTTCTTTTTCTTTTTCTTTTTTTTCTTGCTCCTCCAATCACCACCCGCCACGTGGCAAAGGGGGGTGAGGGGTGACCCCCAAAAAGGGGTCCCAGGCATTATTCTTAAAATAAACGCAATCCGTCATAATTAAATATTACTTAAAATATAACCAAAGACCTATTTGTTTATAATAAAAATAATAACCACAATAGGTCTTAACAAACTCATGATTAACACCAAAATAGGTTATAATCAAATACTACTTGAAACACAAGCGAACACCATTTTTATTAGAAAAATGTTTGAGGGTCACAATTTTTGTGGCTCAAATGGCTCAAAATTATCAAAACAACGTCGTTTTGGCAATTTTGAAGTTGTTTTGTACTCAAAACAATATCGTTTTGACAATTTCGAGCCATTTGAGCCACAAAAATTGTGACCCTCAACCATTGCTGTTTTTATTATTACTAAAATAACGATCACAAGTAGTCATTTGCCACCGTCAACTGTTAACTTAAAAGTCAAAATGTTATTTAAAAAGGCCAAAAAAAATCAACAAATTGTACCCAAAAAAAAAAGTCAAATATTTTTTTTCATACTTTTTGCATATCTTTTCGTAAAAAAATTAAAAAGTCATCTTCAAGCATACTAATTTTTTTACCTCATATTTTAATCAAAAAAATTTTAAAAAAAATTACCAAAATAACTTATTCTCAAATATCTGACACCATAATAAATCATAATCAAATCATGATAAATATTACAATTAATCATAACTAAAAAGCTGAAAATATCATAATTATGCATATAGTATACCGTTTTTAGGGTGTCTATTATGAAATTTCCCTAACTAGATAACTTGAAAATGTAGAATTATATGGAAAAGTAGTAATGTAGAATCCAAAAAAGATTTTCTTTGTATAGTTTAATTTAACTCATTATTTAATGTGATAGCGTTTACATTTTCAGTTCATGTTTACAAAAAATTTATAAATTAATTTTTGTTTATTTTTAAAAAAAATAAACTACAAATACGTTTGGTTTGAACAAAATATTTGAAAAATTTTAAAAACATAAGCTAAAAAATATGTTTGTTCAAGCCTAAAATATTTATATTTATTTTTTATTATTTATGACAATGGGATCATACACATTATAATTGAAAAAAATAATTAAAAAATTAATTGGGAAAAAAATTTATTGAAAAAAAAATCATTTGAAAAAAAAAATTAATTGAGAAAAAAATAATTGAAAAAAAAAATTGTTAGCCAAATTTTTAAATTTCTATTTAACAACCAACATAAACTCATTTTTTGAATTTACATTTTTTTCTCAAATTTAGAAACCAAGACAACTATTTATAAACCAAAAACATTATCAAACATGTTTTTATGACAATTTTTTAATTTTTTTATAAATATAAACTAAAAATTGAAAATAAAATAGTTACGAAGCAGACCTATATAACTTTATTATTTACTTCTGATTTAGTTGGTTCATTCCAGTTAATTACGAGTTGGAATAGAAATTTTGAGCAATTATTTTTAATAAACAAATACTGTTGTAAGAAGGGTGGGGGTCAACTGTGACCGTAAACGGCACCGTTTTATTATTTATTTTTTAAAAAAAAAATAGTTAAACAAAACAGAAATAGAATTGCATGGGGTCTGCCCAACAAAACAGTGCCATAAATGGAGGAATTGGGAGCACCCATCCTTAGGAGCGTAGAAATGACTCGCTGTTTGTGCGCCGTTTGAAATTCGCTTGCAGTTTGGAGTGAGCTCTGTTTATTTAGGCATGTACCTAAGCCCAGTCTGGGATCTTGGGCTTGGGTTTGAGCCGTCATTTTGAAGCTCGGCCTGACTTGTGGGCTAGCTCAAGGTCCACTCATGGCCTGACTTGAGGCCCACCCTGCCCCGTCTGAGACCCAGTGCCTTTTTTAGTGAAAATTAATTAAATTTTAGTAGAAAGAATTTAAAAAAAAAAAAAAATTATTCAGGCCCTCCTGTCCGGCCCAGCCCAAATTTTGGCAGGAGTCTACGAGGGCCGACATGGCTCGAGTCGGGCCAAATTTACAATCTTGGGTTTGGGTTTGAGCCGTCATTTTAAAGTTCGGCCTGGTTTGTGGGCCCGTTCAAGGTCCACTCATGGCCCGACTTGAGGCCCACCCTGCCTCGTCCGAGATTCAGTGCTTTTTTTAGTGAAAATTAATAAAATTTTAGTAGAAAGAATTTTAAAAAAACAAAAAAATTATTCAGGCCCTCCTGTCCGGCCCAGCCCAAATTTTGGCAGGAGTCAACGAGGGCCGACATGGCTCGAGTCGGGCCAAATTTACACTCCTACCCATCCTATGTGAGGCTTTGGTGGCGTGTCTCAAGCCTATTTCAATAAATTAAATTGTTTATATTTTAATATTTGTCGAGTGGATAATTCACAAAAAAAATCATATTAACTGAACATCTATAACACCATAATACGAATGCATTTCATTTAATAAAAAAAAACGGCTATATGATTCTAATAATTTTTTAAAAAATAATTAGGGTCTGATTATAGACTTACATATGTTCGATTAATTTGATTTTTTTTTATGAATGATATGCTTTACAAATCTTACGATATATACAGTTCAGATTATCTAATTAGGCTCCAGACACACCCCCACAAGTCTTACAATATTGGTGTTTGGGACAACAACAGCCCCAATTTCAGTTAATGGGTTTGATTAGTTGAATAAGTTTAGTTGGAAAAAAATAAATAAATAAAATAAAATTTGAATAGAATTCACATTTATTAAAAAAATTGAATGGGTTTGATTAGTTAAAAAAATAAATGAATAAATAAGACAAAAAATTGTATGAAAACTGAGTTTTATAATATTTTTATTTGTTTTAAAGACTTTATAAAAGCAAAATTTAAAAGCAAAACTAATGTTAAAACAAAAACACTTTATCACTTTAATTATATAACATGTAACAACTATATAATACAGAAAATATATAATATGTAACTATCAAACATATATAAATAAAACTATAGCAACCAAATTAAAATCCAAAATAAAAAATTAAAAAAAAAGTAATTCCAAGCTTTCTAAATTTTCTAGTTTCCTTCTCCATGTATAATAAACAAAGAAATATTTTACCCGCTCTAC